TTGGCTTAATCTCTCTGCCAATGATTTTAGCCGTGGGTCGTGGTCGTGGACATAAGCTACTGCCTGACTAAACAACAGACCAACTACTTATCGCAGACAGATCACAGTCCGAAATGTCACTTTCTTTGAGGTCGCACTTTGCTTGGAAACAGAGTTTCCAAGCAAAGTGTCCATTGTTTTCTTTCTTTTCTTTGTGTTCGTTTAGAGAAAGAGAAGCAGGCGACATTGTACAAACGTATTACGTTATCTATAGTGTTTGTATTTTTGGGGGGTGAGAAGTGTGTGTGTGTGAGGGGGGGGGGAGTGGGGAACGCCGGATGGGAGAACAACATAGGTCGAGAGAAAGTGGGGACTGTGAATCCAGTTCTTTTGTTGTCCGGGGTGGGCCGTGGGTGGTGGGAGCTGAGTCATAAAACGCTGAACCGTCAACTTGCACCCGGAATTCCATGATCGAATCGTCGCTTCACTCGACAGCGAGACGTCAGTCAGGGAAGATGGACAAGTTTGTTCTAAGCGAAACGCAAAAAAAGAAATTGTGTCTTCACCTTGAAGGCTACAAGTATTACAAACGACGACAGAATGCAAACGGAACGATCGCGTGGCGTTGTTGCCGTTACACTTCATCAGGATGTGTGGCTTCGATATTGACCGAAGAAGACAACGTGAAAAGCAGATCACGTAAGTTGCTATATTCGATTTGCCTTTGACGGTCTGTTTCAGCATGATAGAAATCGCTATTTGTTTTCGTTCCTTACTTACTCTTATCAGCACCACTTAGTACAAGCCTAAAGGCAGTTAAAGTGTCATTGACCATTCACGTTCCTATTTACTTATAGACGATCATAACCATGCACCAGACGAGGCGACGCTTGTGAAGGACCAGCTGCGCGTGGCACTGAAAAAGGCAGCAGCAGCCAACCCCAATACGCCCGTGCCAAGGTTGTTTCAAGAGGAACTTCTCCGAACTTGTTCTGCAGTAGGTTTTACATTATTACATCTATCGCGTATAAAGAAGTATTATTCAAAGTTAGCTGAACCAAATCACTAAATTTATTCTAGGTGCCAGATGAAGTCGCAGCAGAAGTACCCACGTTTGCCACCCTCAAGGATACGATGTATCGGGAAAGGCGTTCAGCGCAGCCACCGCTTCCATCATCAGCCTCCACTCTGCAACTCAACGACGCCCACAAAAAGACAGAAAGCGCAGAGCCGTTCCTGGTCGTCGACGACCGCAGTGATCCCTCGTCTTGCATACTTGCCTTCGCTACACGAGATGGAATGCAGCGGCTGTCGTCAGCCAAAATTATTTTTGCGGATGGGACGTTTTTTGTTGTACCGCACATCTATGACCAACTTGTAACCCTGCATGTTGTAACCGACGGCGTGCATAGCGCAGCGGTTTACTTCCTGTTGTCGGGTCGGTCACGACAAACCTATGTCCGTGCTTTTCAAGGGCTCAAAGCTGCATTCATATCGGCTGGGATTTCATTCTCGACCCCTGATATTTTCATGACGGATTTTGAGCAGGCGCTTATTGGTGGTCTGCGCGACGTGTTTCCTCAAGCTGCTCATCGCGGGTGCCATTTTCACTTTGCGCAAAGAGTATGGGCTTCCGTTCAGAGGGCTGGGCTCCAAAGTGCATATTCCAGTGATAACCAAGTAAGGGCTCTGATTCGTAAGCTCGTGGCACTTTCCTTTGTTCCGCCTTGTGATATCCCTCGCGCCTGGGCGTTTCTGCATCAGGAGGGTCTATTGCTCGGTATACCGGAGCTACCTGCTGTACTCGATTACTTCGACGCGACGTGGATAAGTGGCATTTTCCAACTCGAACAGTGGAACCACCATGGAAACAGGGGACCCAGAACCAACAACCACATGGAGGCATGGCATCGAAAAATCAAAGGCATGTCAGGAAAAGCGCACCCGAATCCCTTCGCGTTCATTGATTTAATCAAGAGAGACGAGGCCCAAACAAGAGTCCTCTTGCTTCAAGTTGCAAACGGGGGAGCCGTACGTGCGCAAGGCCGCAAGTGGGCCAATAAAGACAGAAAACTGGCGGAGCTTGAAGGCCGTTTCAACAGCGGCGCCATTTCGCTTTTTCAATTTCTAAACTTGGCTCAAGCTTTTTCTGGGCTGTAAGCATTGTTCAGAGCTTTAGCCGGAAAAATAAACGCGCGAAAATGTTGCCGTTGACTCGTTGTACGAATGTGAAAATGTGTGAAAAATAAAACCAAGTTGTTCGTCCGTAAAAGATGGTATCCCTTTCTTCGAATGCAGAAAAATGAATTCGACAAAGCTTCATATTGCCCGTTCGCGCACGGGCAATATGAGAATGGGCCCAGTTGCGAAAAACCGATTCGGATCTTATGACAATATTCCACCGAGGCGGACGAAGTGAGAATAGGACTAAATACGTAAGGTTCAAATGCGAATGGTGCGTTTTCAGATGGCGGGCAAAAAGAGAAGGGGCCCAGTTGCGAAAATACTGATTCGGACCATATGAGAAGGTTCAAACGAGGCGGACCAGGTGAGAATAGGACGAAATCCGCAAGGTTCAAATGCGAATGGGACGTTTTCAGATAACGGGCAAAATGAGAATGGGCCTATTTGAGAAAAACCTGATTCGGATCTTATGAGAAGGTTCAAACGAGAAGGACCAAATGAGAATGGGACGAAATGCGCATGGTTCAAATGCGAATGGGACGTTTTGAGATACACCCGCAATGCTCTGCTACACAGGTGGAGCATGTACGATTACCCCACACGAGAGTATTTGGTGCCTCGATCAATCTCCGCACCAAAAATGGGGAGCCATAAGGGATTTAAATCGCTGTTGTCCTATTAAGCGATATTTTTTTTTTAAGTGAATAATTTATATTTTAGAAATTGTACATTAGAGAGACGCACTTCGGCATAGGGGAACGCTTTGGAAGATCGTCTGCTAAGCTCTGCACTGGCACGTCCCCGAAACTTCAGACATCTGTCGGCGGCAGACGCAACTAGGCAAGCACAGTCGTTTTATCGTCTGCGAATGCTGCCGTAGGTTGCCCGAAACAGGTTTTTCTTTTTTAAACAAAGCAAGTTCATTTGCTGATTTCTTTTTTTTTTTTTTTTTTTACTTTTGTTACCTAGTTGCACTTCTGTACTAAACATCAGTGCAGTACGTCGAGAAACCGATTTTTGCGGATTGTCTAAAGTGGGTTGCAAGTGCCAGTATACATACTGTATAACAAGTAACAACTTGCAGATGGCTAAAAGATGTTTAGGGCGACGTAACGTCTTGCAAAGGTATCCTTCCAAGATGGCTTGAACATCTTGCCAAGGCATCTTATGGACGGTTTTTGGTATTCAGTAGGAAACACCCAGATTTTTGTTTTGTCTGCAAGAATGTTGCCTCCAACCTCACTAGACTCTTGGTTGTGTTTATGTGCGCACGTGTTATTGGGTATGTTTGCACATGTCATTATCCGATTGCAGGGCAGCAGACTTATGAGAGAGTAGTGCGCACTTAATCGTTTGTCCTTGTGTGCTTCATTCGCGCACCTGTCCGCAGAGACGTCTGAGAGGAGCGGGGCCAGGGAACAATGCCGTTTTTCTAAATCTAGGTCAAACATATTTTCTTTTTCTTTTCTAAGGCACCTACAATGCGGCTTTGTTTAGTGGCTTTAGGCCCACACTTGCGTTCAATCCATGTTTCTGTGATTGAATTCGCAACTTTCATCGATGATGGTGCCGCAGTGTGAGAATCGCACTCCCTAGTTCCTGGATGATTGTCTTCAGAATGAAGGTGATCACTTACACGTTCCTGATGTGGAAATATATATAGCTCGTATTTCACAAAATAATCATTAATTCCACGTTGTAGACCCAACCCCCGGACTGCTGTTCCACGACAATCATCCGGACGACAGCCATTTTGATAGGAACTAGTGTGCCCTCTATCGGCCGTGAAAGTTGAAAATACCAGTCCCAAGCTGAACGTTGATGCAAACGTTTGGCTATGTCAGCTGAAGATTGCTTATGTTTGTTGTCTACAGAGGAAATTAACTCCAAAGATGCTTTGAGGAGGCTTTGATCTTATACCCAATAATGCCACAATGCCTCTACAATCCTTATTCAACTACAAAAAAAAAAAAAAAAGAACGGAGAAAACGTCCTTCAAGTTTTATTCTTTCTTGCAGCCGACATTATCACTAACGCGCTTAATTGATGTATAATTTTTTTTATTTATTTTAAGGGTGTGTATGTTCCCTGTGCTAGGGGTAGAAACAGGTCGAAACGAGGTGTTGTTCCTTGTTCACAACACATATTACATCCAACGCGTAAACTTTCGAACACGATCACCGCGCCCGTAAGAAAAAAATAAACAAACACCGCAATAGGGAACACAGACTGCAAGTTGGAATGTTGAGACAACTGTCACATCTAACAATGACGCGTTTGAAAAAACTACAAACACCAACAACAAATAAAAAAATAATAATACTTCGAAAGGACACAGACTCGAGAACACTTCGCACAACGGAGCGCGGCCGACGCAGTAGCGCTGTATCGTGCAGCTGTTGGCAAGACCTTGCCGGCGAACAAGTTACAGCGGCACAAAACGCATTGTAGGAAACAAACCAGATTATGCGATTCTACCTTTTTTGAGACACCGGAAAAACGGCAAATGTCAACTCTTGGAGCATACGTTGCCGCACTCATTATTATTTCCATCCCCTGAAGACAGTTAAACCATTGTAACGTTGTAACACTCTGCGCGAAAGACGAAAACCTCCCAATACGCCTGGTGCAGCTTTCTCCAGCGTGTAACGTTCGAAACGCCGGACGAATGACTGCTCGAAGCATATGGTGACCTGCCCGCATTCAAAATGAAAACAAAACAAACCGGGATAACACCACGTTTGTATGCAATAGGCAGCCGCCTACCTTAAAACAGTCAGGGCACAAATGCCCGAGCGATGTAGGCTACTTTCGAATGAAAGTTGTTCTCTTCATACCTCGGGTTCGTGTTGAAACGTGTGCGACGCCGTACACCAATCTCGGAGTCATTGAAACGCTAGAAAATAATTTCTCTAGGCCGACGTTCAACGCGACTGAGCACGACTCCAATGGGTGAACGACGGCAGTGTTTGTTGATTTTCTTACCGGCCCCGAATAAACGGTTCCTCCCGCGGCCCGTAGATGGAGCCACCGTACCGGCGAATCTGCCCAAATCTTTGGTCAGCCATTTTGGTTTTGTTGCAATGTTTACGGACCAAGTGGTTCCCAATGCAAAGCGGCGGTTGCGGGGAAAGCAGGGGAAATTAAAGATTGATTATCCGCGCAAGCGTGTCACGAGGTGCACGTTAAGTAATACACTTCACCGAATAAATAATCCAAACACAGTACACTGCAAATCTTGAGCAGCTCACAACTGTGGAACGGATTTCCATCGCCTTGTTGAAATCTCAGCCGTGCGTGTTTCGTAACAGACCGAAACGTATATTTCCAAGAAAATTTAATTTACGGCCCAAAATAAAGCTACATCTGAGGTCCTCAAGCCTCCCGACTCACTGAATTGCACCTCAAATCGGAGATCACTGCTACTGCTGTCCTGATATCCCGCGAAACACTCTCCGAGAGGACGGAGTTTCGTTTAAAACGCTCGCGTTTTTCTAGCAAACTCTCGCAGCAACGAAAACTACCGCATCGAAACGTTGGTCGGCACACGGAGGACGCGCATTCACTCCCAAGTCGATTGCAACGTGCTGTCAAGCTCAAAGAAGCGTCTTTACCTGGGAACATGGTCGGAGACCAGGGATCCACACAGCCAGCCCGTTTTTTTTTCGATGGCGTCCCCGCAAAATCCCAGGATATCGGTGCCCAGGATGTGACAGGGCCAGGGTTGCCATGGCAACGCACACGGGAAGGAGGTTTGCTTCGTGTGTTCGTGTGTGGTTTTTCGGGAAAGGGGAGAACTGAGGTCCCTCTTCCTCCCTTTTCCTTGGAGCCGATAGAACAATAAAAAGTGGAGCGAAGGCTCCACTTTTCCTTGTTGCATCGGCGAAGACGATGAGTAATTGGGGACCAGCACGGGACAATTTAACTCGGTAATCTCGGATTTAGCTTACATCTCGCTTCTGTTTGCGCCTAAATTTGTCCATGTGCGATACCCAGCCGAGAAACCGTTGAAGTCCTAGGTGACACTGTGGGGATACGACCACGTGTTCATTGACCCTTTCTGTTTTGTTCTCGTCAACGAAGAAGCGTGGCATAAGTAACGACATTACAAAGGTGAACAGTATGTTAGGGCACAAACGAGCTGGTGATGATCAAACATGATGAACTATAACCCTGAGACTAGGGAGAAAAACGACGATGAAGGAGAGGAAGAACAGGAGTCTCAAAACAATAACCTTGAGACTCGTGTTTTTCCTCTCTTTCATTGTCGTCGATCATATACAAAACTGCTTGCAAGCACGCAGAGTTCTCCTTTTTTTTTTTTTTTTTTTTCAAAAAGTTTGTTTGAAATGCTTCTTTTTTGTTTGGATAAAGGAGGGATAAAGTTGGACACTCGCAGGACATTATATTTATCTATTTATTTATTTTCGTACAGGTTTCTGTTGTGATTTATAACATGAGGAGTTTTGAGTGAGTTGATTGAACTCCAATAATTACCGTGAGCTTCAATACCATACATGTTTAAAAGTTGAAAGTTTACCCGGTGCGGACTGACTATACAAGGTTTTGCATCTTTCTAGAATCGTTCACTGCGACAAAACGCGAAGGATTTTATGACTAACAGAGTATATTATTAGTGATTTATGTCTAATATACAAGCTCCTTTGCCAGCTAATACAGCAGGCATTTGTCAAGGTGTGCTGTGATGACAATTTTTACGTTCGGGTTAGGCACTAAGTGCGGACTATGCGCCGCGTATACGAACTATGCACCGGGTGCGGACTATCTGAGCAAAATCTTTCACTTTGGACCCCAAATTCGCCCCTCCGACGCACTGTTTACAAACAACCCCGCATTTGCCCACACCAGGTGTGGGCACTGCACGTGCGCAGAAACCAGATTCGCGAGAGATGAAGCATCTGCGCATGCGCCGTGGAGACAAGAGCGCCACCGCAGAGGCGTGACGTCGGAGCCGCGTGTTGGTCTACACACCAGGTGCGGACTTAGTCCGGAAAGTACGGTAGAACCTGCTGACGTCTTCTCATCGAAACATTTTTACGCACAATCATGATGCGCCATCGCCCACATCAAACTGGGTCGACACGGGCCGAAACCATGCAGGGCAATGTTTTGCTTCCATTGTTTGGGGCCACTTGTTGATTGTGATGACGTGCCAAGACAAAGCCCGTTTTGGTGATGGACACGCCGTGCTGTCTGGACGGTGACAACTGGAGAACCAGAATGAAATTAAGCAAAAAGTGAAGGTCAGGTATGGTCACGTTCGTATACGGCCGTCCCCCGCAACCTAAAAAGTGTGTTCAACTTTTGGTCGGTCTGCACTACCGAGGTCCGATTAGCTGAGATATAGTTGACAAAAAGTGCAGTGTTGATAAAATCACCCTTACATTTCAGATGTGTCCTTTGAAGGAATATAATTAAAACAAAATAAATAAAACGTGTACTGGTCACGAAATCGATGTTGTGTAGAACGGCTGATTAACGCAAGGTATATTTATATTTGCTTATTAAATTTGAGGAGTCAATGGCCATATGTTTACTACCTAGAACTATGCCGATAGTTCACTAACACACCAACCGAAAGCAATTTATTCTTTATCTAGTAATATGCGCTATCGCCTTTAATATGAACTGAAACAGTCCTTACTGATCGTAATGCGAAACAAAATGAAGAAACTTTCAAGTTGACGAAAAAGACAAAAGTATGAAAACGACTTGAAAGTTTCCATATTTTTTTCGCACCACAGTTTCAGCTCATGATTATAATTACCGGCTCGCCTGCACACTCATATTGTTATTTTAGTTAGTCCCTAATGCTATTTTAGTGCGCCTCCGAACTATATATACCAAGAAAGTGAGGCAGACAAGGAGGTGAGAGCGCGGGGGCGTCAGAACGCCGAGCTCTCATTGGACAGATTAGTGGTATAGACCTAAAGCATTAACTCCACTGCACTCGTCGGACACGATAGAACGCGGAACGCCGGCGTCCGCCGTTTCATTTTGGCATTCGAGCGCGTTCGACGAATGCAGTTGCAGATCGCCACGAGAAGCGGCCGCCGAAATTGAAAAGGTAGAGCGGCAGACAACGGATGAGAGAGGAGAGCAACGTGGCGGCCGCCCCGCTGCGGCGAGACGCCGAAACACACCTCTCCGGAGTTATGGAATGTCCGCTTGTGCCCATCGCGTTCCTCGCGCTACCGCTTCTTTTCTCGACGGGTTTGAAAGCACTGTTTCGGGTCCTCGCCGCTGCAAAAGTTGTGCGCTGGCGTCAAGGTTCCCGAGAAATGCTCTGCGCTACCAGAGCCTCCTCGCGCTCGAAATCTGCGACCGCGGACACTCTATGGCTCCGTTGTCGAACTGCCAGGCTTTGAGAGTATATAGAGGAGATTATGGCAGTGGGGATAAAGGCACAATCTCTCACTTTCTCAGCGCATATGAATAGAACGCGAAGTCGAGGTCCCATACTTCGGACCACATGCGCAGAACATGGCCGGCTGGGATGTTTTAGGTCATATTGGCTCATGATAGGACATAATATATTTATGAAACTTCATAATACTTGCCTCGATATGTTAACCAAGGAGTTCGGCAGGTTAGCTAGCTAGCCAACATCTTGGCTGGAGGTATACGGTGGGAATGCTTTATAAGAAATGCAGACATCCGGAAAAGATTCGCCCATCGCACCTTTGACCCAGCTTTTTGCGTCTGTGATGTGTTTAGATGAAAGAGGATGACTTGAGGGATAAATTTCAAGCGGAGCCTCCGCGCGCGCTGGTTGCCGTTGCGTATAATTCACGCGGAAACATATAGTATCGATCAGAACTTATCCTTCAGGATGGAGTGATTGAGAGCAATTTTGAGCCCCACGCTGCGGGATTGGCGGCCGAGTTTAACGCGTCGCTGCTCGGAGCACGTGGAGCGAAAGCTCCCGGCTGTGCACCCCAGAGATCTCAATCTGAACGAGCATCGTGCTGGCGTGCGGCCTCTCTTCTACAGGGTGTCCCAAAAATATGTTTATATGGTTATTTTGTGTTTGTGTACATGTGCGTGCGTGTCCGCAAAAATCACTCATCCTTTGCCCATATGTGGCGCTAGCTGTCCGAACCAAATACCGAAGTTTCAGAAACCGTTATATTATTGAAAGGTTGCAAGCAGGGCGGACAATAAAAAAAAAAAAAAAAAAATCAAGATGATTTAAGTTTTAGTCAGGCCTGTTTTACTACAGTGATTTAGATCAAACCTTTATCGCAAAAATAATCCCTCGAAAACATTTTAGTTTTCAGTTATCTACCTTCAGTTGCTTTCTTTTTGTATTTATCTAAAAGTAATCATCAAAGAAGAAAATATTTTTATTAGGCTAAACACGAGCAGGAGGCAATATCAACCACATTACTAATATTTAAAAAAAAAGGATTTTTGTATACAATGTTTTTACTGGGCAATAATGCGACTAACTACGGCCACTGTGGATCCGATGCTCAAGTACCTAGAGTTTTAGCTCTATTGTTAAAAGTGAACAAATGATAAAATAGCCTCTAGAAAAAGTTTCAGCTTACACTTAAATCTAAGGTGTGTTAACAAAATCGCAACAAAAATGCCTAATTATGGAACGGTTAGGCAAGTGGCTAAGTTTGTCATTTTATTTAACTTTGAATATAAACCTAAATAAAATAAATTTAACAAATTCAAATAGAACAGTTGGCGTGCTTTATCATATAAACATTGTTGCGTTGCAGGAAGGTGTATTATTTATACCAGTGGCCCAAAATCGTTGTTCCACCTCTACTCAGACGCGATCTATTTTGACGAAAACAAGAAAGTATCTTGCGAAAGTAAGGTACATTCCGTTACGTGGTCATATTTTCCTGCCTCATATAAGAACTTAATTGAAGAAAAATCAAATAGAAGTGACACCCCCATGATCGTACTGATCTGGAAACACCCAGTAACGTCTGACAGCAAG